CCGCCATTGAGGCGGGGCCGGGCGATCGTCTGCTGCCCTGCATTTCAGGCAGGGGCAGGCGCCTGGTTGGCATCTGCCGCATGCGGCGCGTGCAGTGTGTAACACACTTTGTTATGTGTATCTTGCATGGCAGTTGTTGCTGCGACCGTGCCGGGCAAGGTTTGCGGGCGTTAGGGCGAGGGAGAGCTTTAGGGGTAGGATGATTGAAGGGAGGTGCGGATTGGCTGTGCCATCTGATTGGGGGAGCGACATTCTGGCTGCATGCTTGTGTTGGACCACTCAACCGTGCTGTCAGTCGCCTGTCAGTATGATACCACAGGTGCGATTGAGCAGCAAGCGGCGGAGGCGGACCTGCGAGGCCGGTGGCACTTGTGCCTGCATATGTTTGAGTCCGCCCTTGCTATGGCCCTGCGCTGTCGCTGCCGCTTGCGTGCAGAAGAAGGTGGATCAAAGAAATAAGCCACAACCATCTCAGAGAAGGGGCCAGCACTGTGTCCCGCGGCCGCCTGTAGCCGACGATGCATTTGTCAAGCCGGCTGGGGCTGACCTGGGCGGCTCAGGTGCTGCTGGCGCCGCGGGGCAAGTCAACACCTGCTGCCACGCTAGAGTGGCACCGACCAGGCTTGCGGGCGGCGGCTGGCGGCGGCAGTACATTCGTGGCGCTGCTGCACTGGGATTTGCTAAGCTGGCCAGGTCTCTGGGAGGAGTGGGAGGAGAGTGGGGCAGGCAGGAAGGCAGGCAGGTCGCGCTACGCACGCCCTGTCTTACAACACCCATGCCACAATGCTCTGCCAGTACTAAGCAGCAAGTGCGCCAGCTCATGCTGCATGCGGTTAGTCAGGGCGTCTGGGTTTGAATTTGGTTTGTAATGCAGTTGCTGAGCTCTGCATGTGAGGCCTGTCATGCACCCATTTGTCGTAGTGAGGTGAATCAGCTGAACGGGCAGCGCGCACTGCGGGGGGGTTGTCAACAGGGTCACCGGCTGTATCAAGGAGGCTTCAGCATCAGAACACGTCCCTACATTCCTACGGCCCCCGCGCCCTGACTCATCTGCACCTCTCTGCCTCCCCAGGCTGCCTTCAACGACCACCACGCCACTGTGGCCCTTTGCCTCACTGTCACCGGGGTCCTCTGCAAACTCACGGACATACGCTGCTGATCTTTGCCCCTTCGCGGCATCCTGCCGCGGCACGAACTCAGATCCCTCTGCCGCTCTGGTTACCTCGCCTTCGCGCTCAGGTGATTGGTGATGCAAGCACCGGTCTACAGGTTACTGATAGGGATACCCCACTCACTTTGTGCACTCTGCTGCTTGCCACACACGTGTCGTCGGATCCCCCGGTGAGACGGTGACGGCTGACCACGACCCCAAGGTACGGTAGTCGAGCTTCGTTAGATCATGTCGAGTCGTCTCAATCGCAATTTTTTGCACGGTGTTTGGACCTGTTCGCAGACGACAAACACCCGCGGCCAATCCACCCAAGAGGACAAGCAAGCGGTGCCAGGCGTAGCGAATCGCAGGCCTAGATCAACATATATCAGCTTGAATCGCCACCATGGCGAACATGCGGCTGGTGGTGTTGGCGCTGGCGCTCCTCGCGGCGGGTATGTCGCAGCAGAGCACTTCCTCGACCAGCCATGGCCCCGCGCGCTGCTGCACGCTCATATGCTCAAGGGTGTTATGATATTAGACCCTTACTAAATGGCTTCTCAAGGATTTTGGAGATCCGACCAAGCTCAAATGCGGACATCTGCTCATGGTCCTAATGCAAGGTCAACGCACGTGTGCACCCCACCTCGCGTGCCCTGCCCTCCTTGCGCGTAGGCGCTAGCGCACAAAACCTGGTGGCTGCGCCGCAGGCACCCACCATGATGCCCCAGGCGGCCACTTCCGCCCCCAAGGGCCCCTGCGACATGGGCCTGACCTTCTTCCCGCCCCAGGGCGATAATTTGCCCACCGGCTGGTCGCAGGCGGCGCAGCAGAGCAGCGGGAACACGCAGACCGACCAGATGATGAAGGTAGCCCTGACAGGGTACCCCACCCCGCAGCTGTACGTGAGCCCCGCCAGCGTCTACACCCAAGTTGGCGGCAGCGTCCCCGTCGCCTGCACCGCCGGCCAGAGCGCCGCAGGCGCGGGCGTGCTCACGCGGCCTGCGGCGTTCACGATCACATGGGCCCTCGCCGGGCAGAGCAAGCAGCTGGGGCCCTTCCTGAAGGGCTCGAAGCAGGACCCGCCCGCCAGCGTCACTCTAAGTTCTGTGCCGAAACTGCCCGACGTGAGCCCCGCGCTGCGCCCGATCCCGTTTCCTGTGCCGCGCCGCGCTGCATGCAGCGTCGCTCGTCGCGGGAGCCGAGTGGCTGCAACAGGGCGTGGCGGCGTCTGCCAAATGCTCGCGCTCTGCTTTGCTGCGTCGTGCGGGGTCGCAGCCGTATCGCCTGGGACGTCTCACCCGCAAATCTGAGTGAAGTGCTGCTCTCTGTTCTTGTTCCAGCGCAGCCCCATCGCCCTCACGCCTGCCCTGCACTCTTTAGCTGGCTGCACCTCGTACATTGCCGTAACCCCCAACGTTGCCGCAACCCACAACACACACCCACACACACACACACACACACACACACACACACACGCACACACACACACACATGCATGCATGCGCTCGCACATCTCGCAGGGTGACTACTGCCTGCAGGTCAAGATGGACCTCATTCCTGGCTCCGGCATCGTCTCGATCGGCGCGCAGCAGTTCAAGGTCCCCGCGCGCGCGCAGTCCATCAAGCGCCAGGTCTGCTTCGTCAAGCTAGCCACGCGGCCCCAGGCCAACATCACTTTCCACAGCTGCAACAGCAGCTTCGCGGTGGACCTCACAGGGATCACCCCCAAGCCCCAGTTCTCCAGGCGCGCGGGAAGTGGGGAGGGGGAGCCCTGGGCGGTGCTGGGGGCAGGGTGCAAAGGCCAGGGGTGTGGGGTATTGGGGCAGCGGCTTGAGGGCTGGCAGCAGTGGTTTGGGGGCTGTTTGTTGTTGGTGGGCGGTGTGGTGCCAGTTTCTAAAATCGAGTCACGGCCTGACATGTGTGATCCGTGGGGGCCGGGAAGGAGTTTGGTGCAACCTGAATACTTTTGTGTCGGCACCCGTAAATAGGATGATAAAATATTGTGCACCAAGCAAATGCTAGCCAGCACAAGGTGCACACTCTGTCGACCCACCTTGTTATGTCCCCTAGAACCCTAAGACCAAACCCCTCTTGCCTCCCTACCCCCAAAACATGAACGGTGGCCCTGGGCTTGCTCCAAGGACAATGCTGCCCCTCCCTCACAAAAGCCTCCTCCTCTCCCCGCCCCCCCTCCCCCATCCCCCCTCGTCTGCGCCGCCCAGGGG